TCCTCTTACTGAGGCAAATGCGGCTCCACGCGGCTCCACACATCTCTCAGTGGTTAGTCCTCAATGAAAGCTGAACCGAGTAAGTTTAATGACCCTTTCACAGGCCATTCTTCTAAAAAGTCAAAAACAGCTGGCATGAGCTGCCTTGACTTTTCTTTTCTAGGCTTACATTCCCAGATGCTCCAACCTCTCCTCATACTCCAACTGGTCACGGCATTCTGATACACCGTTTATAGTTTTCTCTGTTAAAATTTGGCACCCAGAATTAAATAAATCACATCCATTTCTATGATGCTAAAGAGAGTAGAGAAATCTTAGTAAATTGTATTATATCAACTTTGCTAAACCTATGGCCTTTTTTCCGTTATTATCTCTGACCTCTCCACTGCCCTCTGGTGGTAACTATTTTTTTTTCTCGACTAACAGAGGAGAGAAAGATTTCAGAAAGGAGGGAGGGAATGCTGCAAAAACCTGATACATTTATATACAAATTTTTGGCCTCATGAAGTTTAAAATCTAATTTGGGAGGCAAAGTATACAATTAAAACTAACAAAAAATACAAGCCGTAATAACACCTAAAAGTGATAAATAAATTCTAAAGGATTTGGGAAGACCAGATCAGTGAGGACTAGAATAGAGAGGACATTTAGAAATGGTGATATTTACACTTAGCCTCAGCTTTAGATGGGAAACCCAAGAAAACAGGAAATGAGTCCTTTAACATAGTAAATTGGAGAGACGCAGCAAGAAACTGAAAATGTGGAAGTACGCTTTGAGCAAGAGCTTAGGGCTGGAAACGGATTTACGAATCAACCACAAATAGCCATGACATTGTATAGGATTACCAATGGAAAGAAGATTGGAAAAATGACATGTGAAGACTTACCAGAGCAGAGAATTTGTCATTCATCATTGATGAATTTGTTTATTCATTAGTCAGTAAACATATATTAACTTAGTAAATGACATAATTTTGTGAGTGGATACATGTGTAAGGCACTCTTTGAGGCTGACAGATAAAAGATGAATCTGATAAAAGCCTTGACTTCAAGAACTTAATAAGCTAGTAATGCAGATAGGACAATGTAAGACTTGTAAATCAGCAGGTATATTAAGACAGAGAAAATAAGAATCATAAGAAAAGTTCAGATAAAGACGGAATAAAAGGAAGAGAGTTTTGTTTTATTTTCTAGCTGGGGCTATCAGTGAATACTTTACAGAAAAGTTGGGGTTTAACGTTAAAATGGGCAGGATTTGAACATGTGGAAATGGGTGGGGAAATGACATGTTAAGCAGGTGAAAGTGTATGAGCAAAACTAACAAAGTGAGGGATGGGTGGACATAAAAGCTAGCATCTGGCCTTGCACATAGCAGACCTCACTGCAAATGCATGAAACTAACCATCACCTGAATTCTCAGCACTGCCCAACAACCTTCTGTCCCCTGTCAGTTCCGAGCTGAAGCTGGAGGGTAGGTATTTGAAGCAGCCTCTGAGACACTCAAGTGGAGGTGACAGGTAGATGGTTGAGAGCTCAGAGGTGAGGTTTGGACTAGAGATATAAATCTGTGATCATCTGTGTAGAGGTGACTGGAAGCCATGAGCCCTGCAGGAGATGGCCTAGGGAGAAAGAAGAATAGAGAATGGAAGGGGCTAGGACTGAGCTTTGTTTCCTGCCCTTCACAGCACTCTCCTCACTCTCCTCAAATACTTTACCCCACCAGCTCCCCTGCACACTCTCAACAGAGGCGGTTGCCTCTTACTTTACTAAGTAAACAAAAGCCATACTGTTGAGAACCCCCCAAACTTCTTACCACCAAACCAACAAGCTTACCTGCACCCACACCCTTTCTTACTTTTCCTTTTCTGTTAAAATAGAAGAGGGATCCTTCCTGTCTAAGGCCAGAACCTCCACTCATGTTCACAATCCCTCCTTTTTACCCCTCAGTGACCTCATTCCATCAAGTCTCTCTCCTGGATCTTCAAGTGCTCTCCCGATGTACCTGCTGCACGTGTTCTCTAATCTCTGCCATCTTTTAAAAGCCCTCCTACCAGACAGTACTACCCTTCCTTTCTTCCTTCAGAGTTAAACTCTGAAGTTGAAAGAGTGGTCTACACTGGCCCTCTCCATTTCCTCTCCCTTTCTACTCTGCCTTCTGCTCCCATTACTCCACTGAAACTGCTCCTGCTGAGGACACCAAGGGCCTCCTTAGTGAAAGTCCAGCGGACCCTTACAAGTCCTAATTTTATCTGCCCTTTTGGCAGCATTTAACATGTGACCCCTTCCTTCCTCCTGGGAACGCTCTCTTCCTTTAGTTTCCCTGAGCTCCTCGTCCTTGGCCCTTCCTTAAATGTTGCAAGTTCTGCCTTAAACTCTACCTCTCCTTATACCCCTCTTGGGTGAGTTCATGTGCACCCATGTCTTACTAACCCTCTGTATGCTCACGTCTCCCAAATCTGTAACTCAGGTCGCAACACCACTCCTGAGCTTCTGACTCATACACTAATTAATCAAACTCAATACAACCAAAAGGGCAATTTCTTCTCTCCTCCCCACCCCCTCACCGCAACCTGCTTCCCTCCTTATATTCTCTTTCTCAGTGGCAAGCACACCTGTCTCTTCCTCCACTCTCCCCATCCTACCTTGTCCCCCATCTCCCCTCATGTCAACTCTAATCTTTTCTTCTACTTTGTAGTCAGAAGATGTTTCCAAATTTTAAATCTGATCAAATAATTCTCTTGCTTAAGACTCTACTCTGCCATTTAATTGCTCTGGGATGTAGTCTAAACACCTTAGCATCATAAAGCCCTGCAATATCCGAGTTCATCTTTCATCATTATCACTCTGGTATTTTACACTGCAGCAATTATGAACAATGTCTCTGATGCTGTAGGATCTTTGCTTGTGTTGTTTTTTTGTGCCTTGAACCCTCTTCCCCAGCTTCCTCCTCATGCTGAGGCTTATACTTTGTGCAGTCTGAACTTAGAAATCACTTCTCTCCAAAGGCCTTCCCTGACCCCTATGACTGGGTTATGTGCCCCTCCTATAGGGTTACTGATTTACCTTGTATTTACTTCTATGATAACACATCACACTGTGCTACAAATTCCTCTTTATTTCTCTATGTCTTTCATCAGACTAGAAATATATTGAAGGCAGGGAATGCTTTGTACACCAGTTTACTCCCTTTGTCTAACATAGTGCATGGCACATATTAGGAAATCAATAAATATTTGTTGAGTTAATAAATGAACTTGGACTTTAAACTATGTCTAAGATGTTTTTATCCAAAGTGGGAGGCAGTATAGTGAAGTGGAATGTACATAAAATTTAGAATCAGAAAGCCAGATGGAATCCCAGCTCTCTGCCACTTAACCAGCTATGTGACCACGAACAATTTATGTAACTTCTCTAAATAGAGAGCCCACCAGATGCCAGGCACTGCACTGGGTGCTGACAATGCAAGGATAAAGAAAGACATAATAACTGCCATCAAGGAAGCTGAGTCCAAAGCAATGTGTAGTAGGAAGGAGGTGAGAGGAAAGAGCATTCCAAAGTAGAGGAGTAACAGTGAGAATGACTGCGGGCAAGTGATCATGTGCCTCACAAAGGAAGTGAACATGGTTCAGTAAGGCTAGAATATACAGTGCAGAATAGGCAGCTGCGGAGAGTTGGGGTGAAGAGATGAGACCAGAGAGATAAACAGGAGCCACATCATAAAGGGTCCTTTACAATATGTCATAGAATTGAGATTCATCCTCAAAGCCATGGAATTAAAACCCAGAAGAGTCTTAGGCAGGAGAGTCACAATGTTAGATTTCTATTATAGAAAGAGATAAGTCTGGTGGCTAGGGGGCGAATAGTTGAAAGACGGTGATGTTAGAGGCAAGAATACCAGTTAGGAGGCAGTTGCAGTAGTCCAGTCAAGAGACAGTAGTGGCTTGATCTTTGGCAAGAACCTTGAGAATGGAGAAAAGTAGTAGTAAGCTGATCCAAGGAATATTTAGGTGACAGAACAGAAAGAATTTGGTAATAGAGGAGGGAAGGACAGGGAAGTACAGAGATGGCATCCAAGTTCCTGGTACAAGCAATTGGTATACAGAGGCTCCTTTACTGAGACAGGGAATGCAGAAGATGGAAAAGCTTTTGAACAGAGGACTAACATGATCAAAATGATGCTTTAATGAGAGAGTTCTGTTGGCAGGAAGTAGGATGGGTGAAAGGGAAATGTCCAGAGTCAGGAAAATGAGCTGAGAAGTTCCTGCAGTGGTCTAGGGTGAGATGACAGGGCCTGAACTAAGGTGAGCAGTGGGCTAGAAGGGAAGGTGGACTACAGTAGCCAGGGCTTGGCAATTACAGTGGAGAATCCTGGAGGATAGTATTAAATAGCTGCGTAAGGGGAGCTGATCTAAAGGTTTCCGAAGGCCAAGCAGAACAATTGAGACTTGATTCAGTAGGAAAAGATAAAACTTTAAAATGTTCCTGAACAATGTAGCGTTTAAGGACTATTAGTCCATCAATAGTATACAAGGTACACTAGAACTAGAATGAGGAAAGGATGGAGGCAGCAAGGAGGCTGCGGTTATTACTCAAGTATAACACTATGAGAAAGTGGATATTACCAGAGGAAGAATTTAAGATACTGCGACTCATTTACTGTGAGGTGTAAAAGAGAGGAAGCAACTGACATGTAACCATGGCACATCACACATTTTCAGTAATTATTTGTTTACATGTTTCCCTCCATCAGACTATGGGTTTCTTGAAATCAGAAACTATGTCTTATTTATTTTTATATCTTTAATATATAGCCCAGATTATGATACAGATCAGGTCTCATTAAATATTGTGAAATGACCAACTCAACAAATAAATAAGTCGGGGGGGGGGGCAGAGTACATATGAAAACAAGATAGTTTGGGGAAGCTTTTGAATTTGGCTATGAAATGCTGAATTTAAGATGACATCTAAAATAATGAATTCTGTAAATGAATACTTACGGAAGGAGTAAGTGCTCAGAAGCTCAGTTGCGAGAAGAAAGCTGGAGAGAAGCACATTAGGGAGTCATCCGTGTTAATCACTCCGCAAACTCCTAGCACCACCTGACATCTGAAACAAACAACGCCAAAGCTTCAGTGGCTTCCTATTGTATACAATGTGGTCAGCACGGAGGTTCTGCTCTGAAGAGTCATTCAGAGATCCAGGTTTCTTCCATGTGTACATCATCATTGTCAATTTACTGACTCCAGAGTCACTGCAGAAGGAGAGAGAGCGGAGTGGATTGTACTGGAGGTTTTATGGATGGGACTGGAAGTGGTTTATATCACTCTACCCGCCTGTTTTTGTTCTCTCCTTGGCCTCAAACTCCAGATTGACTGTTATTCTGGAATATCCATTTGTCTTCTTAATCCCTTCTCTCCCGTTCTCTACTCTGCTCTGTGTCCTGGGAGCCTGGCCTCTACGGATTGAACCACCTGAGCCTCCTTGCCTTCTGGCTTCCAGTTGGGTTCAGAGAATGAGAGGTACAAGCAGGAGAGTGTCAACAGGAAGAGATTGAATTTGAGGTATCTATCACATCCTTACCCCTGACCCTTTGTCAAGAATTTCTGGCAGTGGCTGCATTTTTCTACAGCCCCAGCTTCTGTGGGGCAGACCCTTTCCTATGGCTCCAGCTCTTGCTGGCCTCCAAAAAACACTGTTTCTTCAATTCTTGGCATCTTAACGGCTTCCTGCAGTTAATAACCCCTGGCTGATTTTCTATCCTGTGGGGTCCCTGAACCTTGCCCATTCTTCTGTAAATCGTCCCTTCCTTTGTTTCCATTTAAATCCTCTGAGTATGCCATTTGTTTCTTGCCGAAACCCTAACTGACACATTGTTGACTAGCTCACATTCATTCCATTTCAATGACCAATGCACTATTTTGTGAGTGATTTCATTGATTTGTTCCATCAAAAGGGGTATAAGTGACCACTGTAGTCAAAATGCCATTTAAGAACCACATCCTGAAAGTCTTAAGTCTACACATTCTATACCAAGAGAGAATCCATTCTTTTCACTCGCTTGATTCCAGAAATGGTTATGCATGACGACTCTGGTCTCCATCCATACCTATAAACACCCCATAAAGTAATCCGAGCCATTCTATTCTTTTTCTCAGTAGTTTTGTTCTTCCTTTTCCTGTTAGAGACCATTTCTACTTATCATGCACCCAAGGATACAAAATCATAGATGTATTTTCAGTCACTTTAGCTACCACTTCGTGAAGTCTTACTACATGCCAAGAAATGTGCTAGGTGCTCCATTATGTAATTTTTTTAACAATTCGCAAAACGGATATTAACATCTTCATTTTATAAGTACGGAAACTGAGACTTGGAGAAGCTAAATAACTTGCCCAAGGTCACAAAGTTAGTATACGAGTCAGAATATGAATCAAATAGTCTATTTTTAAAGCTCATGCCCTTAACCTTTATACTATCTTATTAGGGCCCCAAAACCCATAAACTGTGTGATGTGCATAGAAATAAGCAGTGGAGGGGGCTGGCCCGGTGGCACAGCAGTTAAGCGTGCTCGTTCTGCTTCAGTGGCCCAGGGTTCGCTGGTTCGGATCCCAGGTGCGGACATGGCACAGCTTGGCAAGCCATGCTGTGGTAGGCGTCCCACGTATAAAGTCAAGGAAGATGGGCACTGATGTTAGCTCAGGGCCAGCCTTCCTCAACAAAAAGAGGAGGATTGGCAGCAGATATTAGCTCAGGGCTAATCTTCCTCAAAACAAACAAACAAACAAACCAAAAAAACCCCAAATAAGTGGTAGGTAATGGTAGGACAGCAGTAGTGGGAAGGAGAGAGAGAATGGGTGTATAAATGAGTATTTGACAGAGAGATTTCCTTGGCATTGTACAAAGATCATGGTTAACAGAGCTACACAGTGGTGATAAGGATCACTTTAGATAAGCAGTGTAGGTCACAGGAGATGAGAAAGAGGAAAAATTGGTTTCACAGATACATTTAGAAAAAATAGACAAGAGATCTAGAGTTTTGTTCCCACACAACAGTTGCTGAGTTTTCAGATGGAAGTTTGTCAGTGTTAGAAACTGTCTTACTAATATCTATATCTCCAGCAACTATTATGAAACTTCTACATAGCAAAACATATTGCATAGCAAAAAAAAAATAGCAGCAAAAAATATTGACTAAGTTGGATAGTGAAACTTCCTACTGTTTTCTGTATGAAACATTGTGGAGATGTTTACTGTAAAATGTTTATTAATTATACAGCTCTGTAAACTCTATGAGAAAAATATGATAACATATAACATAGTGTAACCTATAATAAAAATAATATTTATTGAATGTTTACTATGTGCCAGGCAATATACTAAGCCCTTTACATATATTAGATCATTTAATTTTTACAATAACCCTATGAAATAGATACTATTGTTATCATCCTCATCTACAGACAGGGAAACGGAGGCATGGAGCTGTTAAGTCACACAGCTAGTCATTGGCAAAGTCAGTATTTGTACCTAAACATCCTGGCTCTGGCAGCCTTTCAAAGTACATGAACAAACTATCTACCTATTTCAGCTTAAATGTACACAATCTCAACCTCACAAGATGATATTCAACAGGGCCTGGCTAAGGCTAACAATTTTGAATCTCTTCAGCACAAATTAGTTGGGATAATTTAGTGTGCTACACATAATCGAAAATAGGTCTTACTGAAAAGGGCACAGTTATGTCTTTTCCTTTATACTTTCTTAGCCTTCTTGGAAATGAATTACATAGTGCCTTGTACATAGCACAAAATACAAACTTAATAAATATTTATTGAATTCAACCAAACTAGTAACTTTTCAGTAGCTCTGTAAGAAACAGTTCCAGAAGGCATTAAAAACAAACAGTGGTAGTAAATTGTACAAATAGTAAATGTAAACATAAATCATCATTACTGCCTCCTAGATACAGTTTTTTGGTAGCTTTGTGAAAATGGCCCAATGAATATTTTCAAGCATACTGTTTAAAATAGTCACCATGGGAATCATGGTCTAAGTGCAAATGGAGTAACAGATCTCAGAGCACAGTAGCTGGGGCCCTCGGTCAATTACTCTCCCTGCTCTGCAAGATCTGAGAGACACTTTCTCATGGTCATCACACAAGATTCTAAAAACGTAATATGCATGGGGCCTGCCTGGTGGCGTAGCAGTTAAGAGCGCACGTTCCGCTTTGGCAGCCCGGGGCTCGCCGGTTCGGATCCCGGTGCGGACATGGCACCGCTTGGCAGGCCATGCTGTGGTAGGCATCCCACATATAAAGCAGAGGAAGATGGGCATGGATGTTAGCTCAGGGCCAGTCTTCCTCAGTAGAAGGAGGAGGATTGGCAGCAGATGTTAGCTCAGGGCTAATCTTCCTCAAAATAATAAATAAATAAATAAATAAGTAATATGCACACAAATAACCCATTATTAAAATGCAGATTCAGTAGGTCTGGGATGGGGCCTAAGTTTCTGTAGTTCTAGCAAGCTCTCAGGTAATATGATGCTGTTGGTCCACAGACCTCACTTTGAGTAGCAAGGTCCTAGAGAGTATTTGGAAGAGAGCTTTTCAACCATCTAAGTAGGTTTGTGGAGAATCTTTTACAGGCTTAATACCTCAGCCCTGAGGGGACAGCCACCTCCACTGCAGCCAGTAGACATATACACTTCCAGGTTAGGTTTTTCCATTCAAATAACTCATTCTCCTTGCCTCTAATACCATAGCTATCAACCCCCTCTTGTCACACTGCTTGCACAGCCCATTAATGATCATCTCTATGTCATCTCTCTATCCATATGCATTCATTTTTGGTACCAAGAGAGCACTTTGGCCCTTTGTAATCTCAGTAACATTCTTTCTCCCCTCCAATTATTTGACTTGGACAGTTTATGTTTCTTAATCTTAAGCCAAAGTTTCAAGCACCTCTTTCCAATCATACTGGGCTCTAAAGTCAATCCTACATAGAAATCTTGGTGCAGCCAGTCAGCATATTTCTGTTCTGTGTGAGAGTTCTGAGGGATCTGGCCACATGCATCTCCTCCAGATTGCCTGAGAACTTCTGCAGTTATCATCCTAACACCTTGTAGCTGTCCACCTACTGTTAAACAGATCTGTTCTCTTCCTCCACTCTTGTCACTGGCCTCTTTGTATATCTTAACTCAATTCCCCACACAGGGTCTATGGTGTAAAATAGCAGTTTTCATAATTTTTTCTAAAGCCATAGAATTCTTTCATCAAAGAAAGCTTAAATAAAATAAACTAGGCTGGTCTAGCTGGAACAGTGGGAGATAAAATTAGAGGGGAAGCAAGGAACATCCCTTGTGTGTTAAGATGTTTAAGCATTCTCATGAAAGCTATGGGGAGCAAGAAAAGGATTTCAAGATAGAAAAGACATGATCAGACTTGTACATTTTGAATGATCACTCTGGCAGACACGAGGAGGATAACTGGAAGAGGGTCCAGATGGAATCAGAAAGACTAGGAGGGAGGATATGAGGAATATAAGGGATATTAATAAATCAGAATCATCAGAACTTGCTGTCTGGATATGGAGGCAGTGAAAGAGAGGAGTATAGTAGGTCTTCCGGCTCTCAAACTTGGACAAATATTGATGCAGGGGTGCAGGGTTGCCAACTACCGAAATGGGGAAGATAGGAGGAGGAATAGGTTTAGGGAGAAAGATATTGAGTTCAGTTTTGAACATACTGAGTTTGAAGGAGACATGTGGTAACCAACCATTTGGTAAATTGATGTGGAAATCAGCAGAACCCTCGCTTACAGACCCATCTTGTATCCAAGTCCACGTTACTATTTGCAGATTATTCTTAGCTTCTGATTAGGCAACTGCTCAAAGTTCATATTATGTAAAACCTTTTTCAACTGAATTGTCTATATGTTCTGCAAATGTAGGTTATATGTAGGTTGTCTGTTACAACTGTTACCTCAATATTTACTTCTCTCCTTCTCTTTCCAAAGTGCTGTGTGGGGGATCAGAATTTGCCATCCTCAAATGTGTCTCTTTGGCTTGATTATTTTTAAGAATAGAAGACTCAAGAAGAAACTTTGACCTTCCCCCTAACTGCCTACAAGAATTTAATATAGATGGCCTGTTCCAGGAAGGAGCTATTACCATAAATAACTATATCATAACATGAACTAGGTGTGGTAGACAGGGAAGAACCTAGCAAGGCCACTTTGATCAAAGTCCTCTCTGTGTCCCATTGTCTTTGCAAGGTATGGCAAACATTTACTTACCAAACTTTTGTTTTTACATCTCCATGCGAATTGTCTTCCTCCCCTTTGAAGTCCCAAACTACTACCCCCAACATCCTCCTTTGTCTTTAGCTGAAGGGTTTTTTTGTGTGTCTGTGTCCCTGAGCTAACATCTGTGCCAATCTTCCTCTATTTTGTAGGTAGGACACCACCAAAGCATGGCTTGATGGGCGGTGTGTAGGTCCACACCCAGGATCCAAACCCGCGAACCCCTGGCCACTGAAGTGGAGCACACAAACTTAACTACTACACGACTGGGCTGGACCCTTAAGATGGTATTTAAGGTGGTGGCTTTGGCCATTTGGGTGAGTTACTCAGTTTTCCTGCATTTCTCCCATATATACATGTTATTAAACTTGTTTGATTTTCTCCTGTTATTCCATCTCATGTCAATGTAATTCTTAGACCAGGTAGAAGGACCTAGAGGATAGAGGAATATTTCTCCCTCCTTTACAGTGCTCTTTGCATTTCTGAGTTTGGGGTTCTCCGTATTGGCCACATGCTTAAGCACTCAGAGAAATAGGGATGGTTTTATTCTGTTCCCTTCGGCAGAAAGTGTCATGTCTGTTCAGCATCTGAGCTCAAAAGAAGATTTAACTGCTCTAGCTATGAGGAAATATATACAAAATCATAGGTGTAATCTGCAGAAGGTAAAATAGACTGGGTTGCTATGACATGTGGTAAAAAAAGAGGTGCTATGTATAATAAACTGGATATATTGTGCTTTGTTTAGAAGGTTAAATTATGCTTTGCCTTGTTTTCTGTTACATTTTAAAGTGGTAATTTTCAAATTTGGGTTTAAACTCTTTGAGGGGCCACTGGGAGGGAGGGAGAGTTGCTGAGCAGTTGGGACTTCAGGCCCATCACCACTATTGCAGCCAGAACAACCTAATCTATTTTACACAAGCTTTCATTGAGGAAAGGATTCTGTGGATTTTTTTTTTAAGTGTGAAAAACACTGTTTTATGCAATGTAAGCTGTAAAACGAAGGGGCATTGAAGGAAGAGTTCCGACTGAAGGAAAGAAAGAAAGCCGTTTAACAATAGATAGACATCTAGGTAGTATTAGGATTATAACTGCAGGTTTTAGGCAACATGGAGATGCACTATGGCCAAATCCCTCAACACTTCTGTCACCCAGGGAAGTCCTTAAAACACTTTCCACGTCTAATGCTTTGTTTTTAAGTTGTGCTTGCTTACAGGAACCAAGGCAGAAGACTGCCAGATGGCCAAACTGCAGAACTGATCCAAACCAGAAAAGTCCAAGATGGTGACAGGGTGTCTGGTACAAAAGGAAACGTGTGCAAAAGGTGCCATGTGCAAGAAGGGAAGATCTGCACATGCCCCAAATGTCCCCGGCCCCCAAGCGGTGATGGGGAGATCCCCCCCGCTTCACATCCCATAAGAATGTTGCTCACCTTCCCTTCCAGAAGAAGGTGTTTTAGAGGACCAGCTCTCCCTTTCTCCATTCCTTGATCAAGCAATAAAGTTTCTGCTCTGCTATTCTGAACCTGGTCTTGTTCTATTGGCAACAGCAACCCTGGCTGAGGCAAAAGGACCCTCTTGCAGGTCACCAGTCCCTTAGGGCTTGGTAACAGTTCCAGGCAAATTTCTCACTTAGAAGAGAAACATCACGGACTTTGGGGCCCAATCTGGTTGGAAGGAGGGGCCTGAAACTGTTTTTGCTCAAGATAAAGAAAAAATACACTGTCCAAACCAAATAATTGGAGTGAGGGGATGTGATTGATATCACAGAGGGCTAAGCCCTCTTGGAACCAAAATGAATGCACATGTGCAGATTTATGGAGACCATCACAAAGAGGTTATGCAAACCATGTGACAAGAGGAGGTTGACAGCTGTGATGTTAGAGGCAATGAACTGCATGAAGTTCTTTAAACAGGCCATAGTTTTTCTGCCAATATTTCTCTCTCCATCTGGAACAGTTTCCCTCCCCTTCCTCAATTAGCTAACCTCTACCTGTTCTTCTGACTTGGTTCAAGCATTCTCCGGAACAAGCAGCCCAATAAACTTTGGATGGATGGCCCTTCTTTGTGCTACTAATACAACAAACAATTCTGGTCCATTTTAATGTTGACTTACTTTCCTTGTCCCTCATCTTAGCTCCTTAGAGGCAACGCATGACATCTTAATCTGCATCTACAAAGATGAGCACAACGAGAGCCTAATAAATGTTGAATTAATAAATCCACAACGCTTATATACTAGGATCCCCTCAAGGTAATTCCAGAGGAATTCTTTACAGGTACTTATGCATCGCACTTTTGACTCAGGGAAGAGTTTTAAAGGGGAATTAAACATGCCCATGATTAAGGAAGACAGGAGAGAAAAAAGGCATAATATTTTGAGTTTTTGTTTGTGTATATGTGTTCGAAGAATATGAAGCAAGAGAGGATAAAATGCCTCTCGGATAAGAGAGAAAGCGGCTTGATTAAGGTGTCTCTAGTAAGGCAACTGATCTAATTCACAACCGATGTATTGGAATGTATGCGTTGGCGGGGAAGAAAAATGACACAAACCGACTGATGTTTTTGGATAATGAAACAATGACCCTTATGTTGATTGGCATAACTAATGTCTTGTACAAAAGTTGCTCCCAGACAAAATGTCCAAGAACACTAAAGAAAACGCTCACAACACAACAGAGAGTGGGTGGATTACGTTTTTCCGCACGCTTTCAACATTGCCGCCGGCCCTCTCCTGCTCTTCAGTTTTTGGCAAATCAAACTCACCCTTGCCCAAATCTGACAAAATCCCTCTCTTAAAAACACGTAAAAAACCCCTGCCTTGAAACGTAAAGACGAGTCTGGGGCTGTGGCCTGCAGACGAGTCCCTTCCCGGGACATGGCGGTAAACCCGACTCCCCGACGTCTTCTGGGGGTTCAGATCATAACGAGGCCGCAGCGGGCGAGCAGAAGCCCCCAGCCCCGGCGAGTTTCCAGGAGACAGAGCCGAGAAGGCCTCCGGGCAGCCCTGGGGTCAGAACGACTTCCCCTGCCGGCCGAGGGGAGGGGGAGAGGGCGGGGGAGGGTATTGGGGGAGGCGGGCGCTAGACCCGGGCTGGCAGGGGGGCAGGGGACAGGGGCGGAGAGCCCCTCTCACCGCTTGGTCCGCAACCCGGAAGCAGATGCGACCTGCGCGGCGCGGGCCGGGTTGCGGTTCCGGGTCGGTCCGCGCAGCTGGCCGCACTCTGCTTGCCGCCGCAGCGCCTTGTCCGCGCGCTTTGAACCTGGGCGGGCTGCGGCCGCTGGGTCGCTCTAGGGGCCACATGGCTGAGGGGGACACAGGGAGCAGCCAGAAGCAGGTGAGGCCTCGGCGGGGCGCCGACCCCCAGGCTGGGTTCGGCCTCGCCTCGCCTTCCCGGGCCTCCCCCGCCGACCGGCCCTCTGCCCGGCGCCGCCCCCGGCTCCGCCTGCACGTCTGGGCCGCCAGCTGCTCGGGTTGCTCCACCGCGTCCCGATTTCCTGGCGCTTGTTCTCGGCAGATCGCTCCCCGGGAGGCCGTCCCCGGGCGGTGGAGGGCTCAGATTGCCTGGACGGCGTCACGGTTAACCAGCAGGCGACTGAGCTGCTCCGGGCGGGAGGCAGAAACCCGGGTTATGCTCACCGCCCTGTCGCTGCTGGGTGACCCTCGACAGGCCATTTAAGAACCCCGGTTTCTGCCTTTGCAAAATGGGCAGTAACAACACAGATCCTAGAGCGCCCCGAGGGCCTACGAAATCTTACTCCGCTTGGCATTGAGGTTTCCCCAGTGCGTGGCTCACGTGGGCGCTTTTAAAGCCTTTCCTGCTGGGCTATGAGGACGAAATGAGATGATACAAAGATGAATGGGTACTTTGCTTCCGATTTTCACCTTTAGGTCAGTTGTTTTTCTTTTTTAACCCTAAACCAAAAGAATAATTTATGTTTTGAAGGTTTGATTACCCAAAATCCAAAAAAAATCGCCTGGCCCCGTGCCCAAATCCAAAACAAGAAAGAACGAAGGAGATACCCAGCAGGAAGATAGGGCTGCTATGTGACAACGCTGCTAGAGAGTGGGGGTGGGGATTTCCTGTTGAAAAACAGAAAGTGGAACAGAGAAGATAGGTTTATCCTTTCACTTCTGAATCTCACTGCAGGGTATGAGAGGGCCTGGATATTTTGGCTCAGTAGTGGCCCAAAGCGCAGTGATGTAGCAAGGCTGGTTCCAGTCATTGCAGTAGGGTCTGGCAACCACCCAGAGAGCAGAACGTAGTGACCGGCTGCTAAGAACGTTTGGCAGCGTTCTTTAGGGATCTTTCATCCAGGCTAGTGATGTTAAATGCAAATACCTTATAAAGGAGTAAGGAAAACTCAGGTTTTTAGGGTATGTGCATTCCTTGACTTCTTTCCCCCATCAATTTCTTTCAGAATGAGGAAATTGAAGCAATGGCAGCCATATATGGTGATGAATGGTGTGTCATTGATGACTGCGCCAAAATATTCTGTATTAGAATTAGCGATGATACCGATGACCCCAAGTGGACAGTTTGCTTGCAGGTATTTTTTCCCCCTTCTCTACAGCCATTTTCCAGTTAAGACATTGACTCTATATGATTGACTACTGTTGTATTCCTCTAATGACTATTCTTGTGTGACTTTTTAAAAATTTGGTTTTTTTGTTGGCTTTTGTTAACGATGATTATCTAAATGGGTGGGTAATTGAATCTCAGGTCACTCTCAAGTCATGCTTTAATTAATAGTTTCAGTCTTTCCTATCCCAATTATTATTTTTTTCCCCAGCTTTTTAAATTAAAAAGTTTTATTATTGTGGTCATAATAAGTTTATAACATTGTGAAATTTAAGTTGTACATTATTATTTGTCAGACACCATATAAATGTGCCCCTCCACCTCTTGTGCCCACCCCCCAACCCCCCTTCCCCTTGGTAATCACTAAACTATTCTCTTTGTCCGTAAGTTTATGTTCCACAAATAAGTGAAATCATATGGTGTTTGTCTTTCTCAGACTGGCTTATTTCACTTAACATAATACCCTCAAGGTCCATCCATGTGGTTGCAAATGGGACGATTTTGTGTTTTTTATGGCTGAGTAGTATTCCATTATGTATATATACCACATCTTCTTTATCCAATCATTAGTCGATGGGCACTTGGGTTGCTTCCATGTCTTGGCTATTGTGAATAATGCTGCAATGAACACAGGAGTCCGTAAGTCTCTTTGTATTGTTGGTTTCAAGTTCTTTGGATAAATACTCAGTAGTGGGATAGCTGGGTCATATGGTATTTCTATTTTTAATTTTTTGAGAAATCTTCATACTGTTTTCCACAGGGGCTCCACCAGTTTGCATTCCCACCAGCAGTGTATGAGGGTTCCCTTTTCTCCACAACCTTTCCAACATTTGTTATTTTTTGTCTTGGTGATTATAGCCATTCTAACAGGCGTAAGGTGATATCTAAGTGTAGTTTTGGTTTGCATTTCCTTGATCTTTAGTGATGTTGAGCATCTTTTCATGTACCTATTGGCCATCTGTATGTCTTCTTTGGAAAAATGTCTGTTCATATTCTCTGCCTATTTTTTGATTGGGTTGTTTGGTTTTTTGTAGTTCAGTTTTGTGAGTTCTTTATATATTATGGAGATTAACCCCTTTTTGGTCCTATCCCAATTATTTTAAGTATTGAAGTGTTTTTAATGTACCATTGACAGACTTGAGTTTCACTTCCTTTCCTTATCTGTTTTATAGGAGAAGGTCTAAACTTGGGAAGATGGCTAACATTTAAGGGGAAGAATAAATTAGTAATGTAGATGATTCATAGAGTAGATACTCACTTCTTTATTAATTGAGCATCAGTGTGATTAGGATAAATAAATGAAAATATCAGTATGGCTTACTGTTTTAATGCTTATTCTTTGATGACTGCCTGTACTTTCAACATAAAAGATGCCAAATTGAGTTTTTGTCAGTATTTGGTTTTATAATACTGATTTGAGAAGAAATGTATATAGTTCTCTACTAAGTGTTAGCTATTTAATGTATTTAACAATATTCAGTAAGATTTTTTTGAGTATTTCTTCAGAAAAGTACCTGGAACAGCTTATAATGTTACTCTGTTCGTTTGGGGTTGGGGTATAATGCCCCTATTTCAGTTTTTGTTTTCCTTTCATTTTTGTCCTTCCCATCCTTATTTTCTAACTTTCATTGCTTTTATACTTTCTTTGCAAATAATGAGCTTGCTCTTAAAAAAAATTGGCATCATTATTAACATCATATTTAAGGTAGAAGCATAAATAGGAGGAGGGAATTCTCTCCTGCAATTTAACAAAACAATGGTTTTGGTTTTTAGTTTGGCAAGTTAGAAGTTTGTCCAGCCATTAGCTTTATAAATATTTATTATTGAGCCATGATGAAATATAAACAGATTTGTTTTTAAACTGCTTTGTAGGTGATGCTACCGAATGAATACCCAGGTACAGCTCCACCTATTTATCAATTGAAGTAAGCTGTATTTCTACATTAATATTTTTATAAAGAGATTATACTTTTCAAAGGTTGTTTCTCTATACTGTACATTGTGTTTATATTAAATACCTTTCTTATCAAAATGTATATAGACATTGAAAATACCTTTTGGGGGGCTGGCCCAGTGGCGCAGCAGTTAAGTGCGCATGGTCTGCTTCTCAGCGGCCCGGGGTTCGCCAGTTCGGATCCTGGGTGCGGACATGGCACTGCTTGGCAAAAGCCATGCTGTGGTAGGCATTCCACATATAAAGTAGAGGAAGATGGGCGTGGATGTTAGCTCATGGCCAGCCTTCCTCAGCAAAAAGAGGAGGATTGGCAGCAGTTAGCTCAGGGCTAATCTTCCTCAAAAAAAAAAAAAAACCTTTTGGACTTGGTATAGAGCATTTAAATAAAAAATTAAATTATATAAAATACACTGAAGTATGCCACTTAGTGTAAAAGAGAATCAGAAGGGCTAAAATAGCTACAGAATTGTCTATAGAGATGGGGAAGGAAACCTTCCTCTTTAGACAACCTAGGAATCTGGAAACCGTGGCCTGTAGAGTTTCTCCTAACCTGGTTCTGCTGCATAGTTCCTTAATATGTCTCTGCCTAAGATTGCCTGCCTTCCAGTAACTACCCATGGTGCTTCTCCCTGCCCATTGTTGTTGAGGAACCAGCTTCTCAGCAGCTCAAGCTTAATCTTTTTTTTTATTGAGGTCACATTAGTTTATAATGTTATTTTTTTTAAGTTTCTTGGTTTTTTCTTTTTCTTTTTCTCCCCAAGTCCCCTCAGTACATTCTAACTGTAGGTCCTTCTAGCTCTGCTATGTGGGACACTGCCTCAGTGTGGCTTGATGAGCAGTGCTGGGTTTGCACCCAGGATCCTAACCAGTGAAATTCTGGGCTGCTGAAGCAGAGCAGGTGGACTTAACCACTCGGCCATGGGGCTGGCCCAATATAACATTCTCTTAATGAGTCATGCCCTCTTGGTTGCAAGTAAACCTTGATCAACCTTGCCCACTTAACCTACTAAGATATATAAACCTATGTGAATGAAATTGCATTAAATCACAGTTACTGAAATGTTTACCTACCAGTGGGATTATTTTTTGTATGAGTGTTTTAAAACCATAGCAGTAAAATTTGCTATTAATAATGGTTCTGTAATTTGTATTTTTATTTATTGAAAATGGTAGATATAATTATAGAATGCTTGTAAACATAAATACCTTTTTCAGAAAAAGTTAGTTTTTTTACATCATTTAACAACCAGCTTATTTGTTAGAGTTGTTGAGACACCAGTTATAGAAAACTGGGAAGTCCTGATAGTGTGGCAGATACTACGCATCTGGAAATTTAGATTCGGGACCTTATTATGTCACTTATGTAACCTTTGCCAGGTTTATGATATCCTGTGAACTCACTGCTGTTTTTAAAACCATATTTTAATTGAATAATATTGGTGTTGGCTTCATCCTGGTTTCCTTGGAGGACTAAATGAGTTAATGCAAATGAAAGCATTTTGGAACTGTGTAGATTTATACAATGTAACATTTTAATGAAAATAG